AATTAAACTGTTTATTGATTGCTGTGCATCTGGTGAGAAGGGCTGTTGACATTTAAAATTCTGTCAAGATGGTTCAAGAACATTATTATTTTTATTTATTTATAGAACACTGATATTAAACATCATTCTACAAAGTGGATAAAACAGGGTTTCTCAAATGGGATTCCGATGCTTTATATCCATCCAATTAGTCTTTACCCTACAAGCTACAGAGTTGAGTACCAACAGGTGGATTGAAAAATTCACCCAACGGAGCTCAAGGCTAATTTGCAACTGCAGAGAAAAGCTTTGCTGTTTCCTTTATTAGCAGTGAGCTTTGCGTTCAGGTCGGTCATAACTTAGTTCAACTGAACCTAAGTCGTTCATGGCTGGGGAAAACTAATGTGGCTTATCCTGCCTATGGCAACCATTTAACAACAATGCACTTCCTGGCTTCTGAACTGTGGTCAAGTGGCTTAGAAGGACTAATCAAGGGGGTTTGCTTATGTGATAGCCCCTTCCATATATATATATATATATATATATATATATATATATATAAAGTCAGGGTTCCCAGCAGTCTTTGTTCAGTGTGTTCAGTGTGAGAAAGATCACTGACTACAAGGAAAGCTAGGTACTAATGTTGGTGCTGATAGCTAAAATGTCTATTTATTTTTACCCCAAGTCACAGACACACTAAGGGCTCACTCACATGTGTGGTAGCCCTTGCTAGCCCTCTGAAAATGAGCCACAGTGGCAATGCCTTGCCTGCTCACTACCTAATTTATCCTTGTAAATGCTGCAGCACCACATTGCAATCATGTGTATTGGTTTTGGGATGACTTGCATGGGCTGCAACACACTCCGCATTCAACATGCAATTACATTTTTGCAGTTGCCAAGAAGCACAGCTGTGACATATGCACAGCTCTAAGTGGCTGCATGGCAGTGTTCAGTTGGGTGGTCAGAGGGCAGTTCATTGCTGGGTGGTTTTGGGGTGACTTGCATGGGCAGCAACACACTCCTCATTCAACATGCAGTTTCATTTTTGCCATGACCAAGAAGCACAGCTGTGACATGGGTACAGTCCTGAGCGGCTGCATGGCAGTGTTCAGTTGGGTGGTCAGAAGGCAGTGCATTGCAGGGTGCTTAGGGGGCAGTAAAACTACTGCGCAGCCTCCCGATTTTACCATCCCCTAGCCGCTTGTGTGAATGTGTCCTAACAGTATATAGTGTAGTGGTTTTGCAGTGGGAGAGAGATTTTGGAGAATTTCTAGGGAGGGTTAAATGTTGCTGGTCCAAATGTATATTCAGTCAAGACAAGCTGTGTTATGGACACTCAAATAGCAGTTTTGGAACACATAATTTACACATAATTTGCCAGGAAGGAAATCCTCTGTTCTCAGAGGAACTGTCCTAGGTGGAGGCACTAGCAACTTTATTATAAAACCCACTCCCACTATTCCACGAATATGTATGGTGCTGCAGCCAATCCCTGGGGAGGTGGAACAAGTAGGTGACTGATGGGCAGATAAATAGTCTGAGCTTTAGAAAAGCAGGGTTTTCCTGTTGAAAGGATGCCATCCATCTGGGTGGGGGTGGCTACCCCCTCCGCAGCAATTCTATTGATTCAAGCTTATGATCATCTAGGCCCCTAGTGTGGCATAACTGTGGGCCTAGTTCTGAATCTTTCTGGAGCTATAGATCTGGTTTGGAGAACCCACTGAAGAGTGTCAGGTGGAGGCAGGAAAGTTCATAGCTGTCCTGTGGCATTAACCTCTCCCTCACTGAAGAGTGACTGGTGGATATTGGGGAGTATTCAGCTATCCTGTGGCACTGTGAGTACTGACTTAAGCTCAAAATCCAAGTGACTGTTGCTGTTTTTCTTTCATTGAAAGTGCCAGTGGTAGCTCTAAGTGAGATGACTTCTACAAGGTCTCAGTTCTGGTCCTCCCTTTGGCTCCTGGCATAAAGACTGTTCCCAGAAGTCTGACCTAGTGAAGTGTGTCGTCCTGTTACTATTCAGTGTTCCTGAAGTATCCCATACCACCCTGCACTCCCTGCTACTGTTTCAAGTTCCTACAAGTAATAAATACTTAAAGGATAAGTTCACTTTTTAGAAAAAAATAATAAATGCACATTTTTTTTCAGGTTAAAAAATGTGCAATTATTATTTTTGTCTACAGAAGCCTGGGAAGCATTGTCTCCTGCAAACCTGTCAGAATATCTGCTTGCCATGCAGGATGTACAGCCAAGCAGATATTTCTGACAGAAAGCTTCAATGAACTACCACGGTGCTCCACAGCACCGTGGTAGTTCATTGAATATTACAAGCCCACAGCCACTAAGGCTGCAGGGACTTGAAGTTCATTCATTCACGGAAGTCTGTGAATGAATGACGCAGCCGTGTGGGCAGAGCCCCACATGGTCACACTGCTTTAGTAGACTTCTTCCCGTACTATCTGTTGAAGGAGGGGGGGGGGGGGGGGTGGCGGCAGGCGCGGCTACGGCTATGGGAACATGTCCCCTAAAAATGGGTGGAACATGTAACATATTCCCAAAGATGAACTTATCCTTTAAAAAGACATCCCCTAAACTGTTTAATGAGCAGGAGTGAATGGACTGTTGTTGTGTACCTGGCTGCCTCTGCACTAGTATGGGAAAGAACCAGTTACATTACAGAGGCTCCTTTGGGGGTAGCGCTACATGCATAGCATACTTGAAAATGGCAATGTCACTAAACACACCTAATAAACAATCTTAGGGTACGATATATTGGGAAGACCTAATGCTGAAGAGATAAAAATATTAATCTCTATCCAAAAAAGCATGGACAAAGGTACTTGTCCAAAAATAATGCAAAAAAATGGCTGTAGCACCACATCCTCAAAAGTAATCAGCAGTAATGCTGTCCCATTTTATGTAACCAGACTGGTGCGAAGGCACTGTGGTTAAAATGTTTCAAATGTATAATTCTGCCTTTAGAGGAGATTATCGATTTTTGGTAGGATCCTTCAAATTCTGAGTCAGTTAGTTGAAAGTACAAGATATTTGAATTTAGAGTCTGCCATTAATGCAGAATAGTATATAGAAATTAGTTTAGTATCCTCCAGTTTTCTGAATAATTTCCTAAGGGGGGTGATATGGGTCGGGTTATCTAACAATCTGAATTGAAGAAGTCAAAAAAATCTTTGTGAGCAATAATAAGCAATCATAAGACCAACTGATCATGGCATATAAAATAATTTATGGCCAAGCTAAGTTTAGCTGTAAATCAGCAGATCCTAGAGCAAATCCATGCATTTGCTCATTCTAATTTTCAGAAATGACCATAGAAGGCTTTGTAAGCATAGATGCCTGGTTTCCAAGCTTTTTTTTCTGGTTTCAAGGTAGCAGCATCCCAAAGCTCACACCCCATATAATCCCCATATAATCCACTGAGCGAAAACATCTCATATGATATGTACCACCCAATCTATCATGTGTACTGACGCTGACAGAGATCACAGTTTCCAGTTAAATCCACATTGCTGATGTCCGCTTTGGGACATGTTTAAAAAAGTAAAAAAATGTTAAATCTTTTAGCAGATCTTAAGGCGTATTATTCACTTGGCAAAGCTGTGAGAGCATATCATCCTTTCAGCTGTTCTATTTCTGGCTCCTCAATAACCTTATCCATGAACGAAATAAAAGTGTCTACCTGCATTTAAATGTTAAAGCGCCTTTTGTGAATACTTTTATGATACCGCATATAGGAATTTTGTGCCGTTCTGCAAAATAACCAATTTCCTGGGACTGACAGGATTTAAAATTAATCTGTGAACCAACCTGAGCTGCTGTGAATTTTGCTCTCAAACAATACCCGTGTTGGTTTTAAAATACACGGCTATATTTTCTAACTAGGGGGGAATTATGTTGCTAATGAACAGAATATAATAATGTTCTAGAAAATGGCTCATTAGATGGATTTTTCTGACTGTGAAAGAGTGTATAAGAGACCTTGTAATGTGCAATCTGCCATGAATTTACACAGTGAATTTTTAAAGTGAATTAAAATTCTTAAACTTCTTTTGCGTTACTCACTAAAAGTAATTAACAACATTACTAAAATAAGGTGAAGGATGTGTCTCTTGCAGGAGTTCCCGGCGGCATGTCTACTCCATGTTACCCCGATGTCCATCCTGTGGCACTGTGAAAAACATCTGCTTAACTCAGCAGAGACCTATACAGTATACTGACCATGTTGAAGAATTCTTTTCCACCTATTATTGCACACAAGATGGAGCATGTATCTGACATACAGTTGATGGAGCAGTTGACAGCCGATGTCAGAGAACAGACTGAAAAACGTTTTAAAATATGGACCCCGAGGTTACTTTATAGGGACCCTGGGCCCTCATGAACAAGTTGGCGGATCACATCTTGAATGGGGAGCTGCGGAAGTTATCTTTCCCCCCTTTTTTTTCCTCTCTCCTCCTTTTTTTTAAGCTGTCCCCTTCTCAGAAAATGGAAAAACTGAGAGTCAGAGCAACAATTTCACTTGGATATACACTATACTGTCTGTAGGGTTCAATATTGAGTTGGCCCACCCTTTGCAGCTATAACAGCTTCAACTCTTCTCGGAAGGCTGTCCACAAGGTTTAGGAGTGTGTCTATGGGAATGTTTGACCATTCTTCCAAAAGCGCATTTGTTAGGTCAGGCACTGATGTTGGATGAGAAGGCCTGGCTCTCAGTCTCCACTATAATTCATCCCAAAGGTGTTCTATCAGATTGAGGTCAGGACTCTGTGCAGGCCAGTCAAGTTCCTCCACCCAAATCTCACTCATCCATCTCATCTTTATGGATCTTGCTTTGTGCACTGGTGCACAGTCATGTTGGAACAGGAAGGGGCCATCCCCAAACTGTTCCCACAAAGTTGGGAACATGACATTGTTCAAAATTTCTTGGTATGTTGACGCCTTAAGAGTTTTCCAAGCCCAACCCCTGAAAAACAACCCCACTCCATAATCCCCCCTCCACCAAAGTTTACACTTGGCACAATGCAGTCAGGCAAGTACTCCTGGGAACCACTAAACCCAAACATGTCCATTGGCTTGCCAGACAGAGAAGCATGATTCCTCACTCCAGAGAACATGTCATGCTCTAGAGTCCAGTGGTGGCATGCTTTACACCACTGCATCCGTGAATTGCACTTGGTGATGTAAGACTTAGATGCAGCTGCTCAGCTATGGAAACCCATTCCATGAAGTTCCCTATGCACTGTTGTTGTGTTAATCTGAAGGCCACACGCAGTATGGAGGTCTTTAGCTGTTGACTCTGCAGACAGTTAGGGACTTCTGCGCACTGTGTGCTTCAATTTACATGGCCTACCACTTCATGGCTGAGTTGCTGTTGTTCCCAGTTGCTTCCACTTTTTATAATACTACTAACAGTTGATTGTGGAATATTTAGTAGCAAGGAAATTTCACATATGGATTTGCACAGGTGGCAACCTATCATGGTATCACGGTTGAATTCACCGAGCTCCTGAGAGCGACCCATTCTATCACAAATGTGTGTAGAAGCAGTCTGCATGCCTAGGTGCTTGATTTTATACACCTGTGGCCATTGAGATGATTGGAACACCTGAATCCAATGATTTGAAGGGCGGGGCCAATACTTTTGGCAATATAGTGTATGTCAGAGACTTTGAACTCCTTCTATACTTGCAATGGAAGATGTTCAACCTGCATGTCATTCAGTAATGTTTTCTGCTGTAAACATTTGCTCTGCTCTACTGGAGTTTGAAAATAAAGACTTAAAAAAAAAGTTACTAAAAAACTTTTGGCCATATATAGTTAAGTGAAGCAAAGAGAATTTGTGACTTGACAAGTTTAGTAACTAAAAACAATCAGATATTGGCTTACTAAAGCCAGATGATTTCTGATTTGTTGCTATGAGTTTAGCTTAAAGTGAACCTTTCAGCAACAAATCTGCATGAATGAATTCCTGACATATCACAATACATGGCAACAGAATAATTTTTTGGAATGGCTTCACTTTTTATCATTAAAAAGCCATCCTTATGCTTTAGGCCAGTGGTCTCCAAACTGTGGCTTGAAAACCGGATGCGGCCCTTTGCTAGCTCTTATCTGGCCCTTGGGGTACTTTTCCTCCCAATGATATGAGGCACTGTTCCTCCCACTAGTATGATGTTCCTCCCAATGACACCAACAGTGTGGAATGATTCCTGCCACTGACACTAATGATGGGGGCACTATTCCTCCCAGTAGTATCATTGATGGGGCACTACTCCTCCCAGTAGTATCAATGATGGGACACCATTCCTCCTATTGGCACCAACAATGGGGCACTATTCGTTCACTGATACCAATGATGGGGCACTATTCTTTCATTGATACCAATGATGGGGCACTATCCCTCCCACTGACACGACCAGTGGGACATAATTCCTGCCACTGACACTAATTATGGGGCACTATCCCTCCCACTAGTATCAATGATGGGGCACTATTCCTCCTACTGGCACAAACAATGGAACACCATTCTTCCAATTATATCAATGGTGGGCACTATTACTCCCACTAACACCATTGTTGGTGCACAATTCCTCCCACTAATAACAATGATGGGGCACTATTCCTCCCACTGAAACGAACAGTGGGGCATAATTCCTGCCACTGACACTAATTATGGGGCACTATCCCTTCCACTAGTATCAATGATGGGGCACTATTCCTCCTACTGACACCAACAATGGGACACCATTCTTCCAATTATACCAATGGTGGGCACTATTCCTCCCACTAACACCATTGATGGGGCACAATTCCTCCCACTAATACCAATGATGGGGCACTATTCTTTCATTGATACCAATGATGGGGCACTATCCCTCCCACTGACACGACCAGTGGGACACAATTCCTGCCACTGACACTAATTATGGGGCACTATCCCTCCCACTAGTATCAATGATGGGGCACTATTCCTCCTACTGACACCAACAATGGGACACCATTCTTCCAATTATACCAATGGTGGGCACTATTCCTCCCACTAACACCATTGATGGGGCACAATTCCTCCCACTAATACCAATGATGGGGCACTATTCCTCCCACTAATACCAATGATGGGGCACTACTACTCCTCCTACTGAACACTAACCCTGAGGTCATGTTTATTCTCACAGATGCTGGGCCTGGGAGATTTTCTATCCCCACTGGCCACATTCTGGCCTCCCTATTTCTGAAGAACAGTAAACAGGCTCTTTGTTTGAGAAGTTTGTAGACCCCTGGCCTATGTCATCAGTCTGCTGCAGACAGGAGGAAACAACTTCTGTTTCCTGTCTCCACAGATTAGATTGCAACATTGCAAGCCACAAAGTGAGAGGCAGCAGCAGGAGAAGATTTGTGTCAGATATTTGTGAACATAGTAAAGAACTGGAAAAGCACCAAGATTTTCATGATTGTGTTATCTCTAAACCAACATCTCAGTCCGGGAAGTAGATGAGTAGTAGGATGGCTAAACAAAGATGGCTCTGTCCTTCTCGACAGGAAAGCAGATGCTGGTATTTTCATGGGGAGTACACTGATCTCTGGGAAGTAATAAATACCGGGAAAATGGGCCCTCTTTGGCTTTTCTCAGCCTGCCACCTTATCTGTACCACTTTTGTCAGGCTACAGGCCTGGTGGTTATGGTCTTGTTTTCTTTCACCTTATAGAGAGTTAATAAAGACAAATATGTTGATGTGTGAAATGTATAGTTTGTTATGTGGGAACAGTGAGACTCTGGATTACCTTGGTCCAAGTGAGCTTGTTATGGCTAAGCAAATGAGAGTGTCTTCTGGAAATTCACACAGTTTTGGATGTCTAAAAAGTTATATAAGTGGGTTGGCTGGTATTAATGAGAGTTATGTGATATGCTAATATACTTTTTTTTACAGTAAAAGACAGTGGTCTGATTATTCTACAACAGATGGTGAAGGATGCCAGGCACCTAAAACTGGTTTCTTGACTGGATCAGGATGGAAACACTGGCCATGTTAGGTAAGATTTTTAGCTTATGGTTTTCTCCCCTCGGCCAAGTTCTCCAGGACCCGGTAGTATTAATTTACCACCAGTGCTCTTGTGCAGTGATTAATCTGTTTGTGGTGTGTCTGTAAATGCATGCATCCTCCTGCTTGCTAGAGATAATTCCTGTGTCTCAACCTGACACGGTTGAGCTAATGTAAACTAAAGTGAGATGGTTCTATAACCACACCAACCTCTAGTTCATACACTAAGTTTTCCAGTAACTGACACCCTGCCTTTGAAAGACATTATTACAGACTTGGAGAACTTTTCTCATTAAAGATGGCAATTGAGGAGATGGTAAAAAGGAATGTTTAACTGGTGGAGATGGTGAGATCCTTGAGATAGGGGAGGGAATAATCTGTGGTGAATCTTGCAAACCTTTGGATTGTGTTAACAGGTTAGTGTAGTGGAACTAGCAGAAGGTTTGCAGCTGAGAAGGGAATATAGGTACACACAACATAAAGCCAAGGAGCATAGGCAATGCCAAAAGTAACCCATGAAAGTAACAATGAAAATAGTACCGCTTGAATGTACCTCCAAACCTGTGTCAGTCAGATCAGTATGTAAAAAGACTGGTGTAAGACAGAATCAGCTTATGAGGCTCCAGTAGACTTCAACAAAATGATGTCCATCTGCAACCAGACACCGACTCCCTGTTGCATAAATATAATGAGATGGTTAAAAAATGGCTTCAGCTCCTGTTCTCCACCTGTAAAGAACTCCTCAGACATATTTTGCCCTTCTCTGGGCTTAATCGTAGAGGTCTCTATGATTAAGCCCCAGAAAGGATGAAGTGCATCTAAGGAGTTCTCTACAGGTGGAGAACAGCAGCTGAAGCCATTTTTTACCCATCTCATTATATTTATACAAAAGGGAGTCAGTGTCTGTGTACAGATAGCTACCATTTTGTTGAAATGCCAAAAGCAAGTTCTGTCTTGGCAGTCAGAGGGGGGATCTCTTCTACTAATAACTGAAGTCCCAAAAAGGTGTCAGCCTCTCCCTTTAAATTGTTGTCAAGAATGGAAACCATATTCCAGTAAAGTTGTGATCTATATAACGCAGCAGATAGATTTGTTTCCTATTCCTCCTCCTCCTTACTGGCCAGATAAAGAATGCAAACTTTATCCAGCATTGAATAAAAAGTGTATCAGAA